GGGAACTTAGGCATTAAGCATTCGTTTCCAAATTTCATTGACTTAAGCAGTGCTTTTTAACTTTTTTCTTTTACATTGAACAAGTAAATATTTAGAATTTTTTGTGCCGGCATTAGATTATACATGGTTCTGAGATTTCCTGCTGCTGTCTGACTCCTGACTTAGTGATTTTCTTGTTGCTTGGTTTCCTGTCAGTGCTGCTTGTAAAACTGAGAGGGATTTCTGGAGATGGTTGTTTATCTCACCCATATTCTGGAGAGCCATAAGCTTAGTTTGCCTGCTGGATATTCCCTTTGTGCATTCCCTCACAGAAAGAAGTGCCACTTTCTGACTTTCCGAGAAAGCAACATGGATGTTCAGAGTTATGGGGTGGAAAAGTTCGGTGGGCTGTGACTTTGCTTCTTTGTGGAGGAGAAGTCACAGCTCTGCCTTCTTTACTGGCCGTGACATAGGTCTACAGTTGCTTATGGGACTTTGGGGATATGGTGAGGCCTTTTCTGTTGAATTTCTGTGTAATTCCAAACAGTGTGAACTTTTCAAATCGCTTGAGAAGTGCCCCAGATGGTGTGACATTCTGCTTCATGGGAAGATTTGAAAGTATTCCCTTTGCATAATCTCTGGTTAACTATTTCATTACGTTTGAAATGGGAGAACACCAAAGCCAAGAACTCTGTTGACATTTTGGTCGTGTTTGTTTAACCTCCTAGTGCACAGGCTACATTTGTTGAAAAATATTATTCTTACCTTTGCAAATCATCAGTAATTAATTCCCTTGGAAATATCTACTGCTGCACACAGCCAGCTTGGGAGGCTGCTGACAGATCATAGTTTTACATCAGGTGCTAACAAATTGATTATTAAATTTCGTAACTAACTGATTTATCGCAACAACTTAATTTCTGTATCTCTCTAATGTATTCACTTACTGTATTTTCAAATAGAGCAGAGCAGTTGGATTGCTTTGTTGCTTCTAATGGTGAATTGAGCACAGCATGTAAGATCTGAATGACTTCTCCAGTGCAGGGGTTAGTAAAGTATTACAGGCTTGTGAAGTGCACAGGATATTAGCTGGTTTTCAGCTGAGATACAGTTTTAATTTTTTCAGTTGAGTTACTCACAGTTAAGATTGTCCTAGTTTAGTCTACATGCTTTTTAACTATCACTAAATTGTAGTGACACTTACCAGCATGGTGAGGGTTTTCTAGAATTGCTGTGTAGTTTGCAGTGGGAGCAGTGTATTCCCAAGTCTCAGTCATGCTGTGAAGGGTAAGAAGTGGTGGCTGTACACTATGATGAAGCAGATCATGTTCAAGTCCCAATGCCTACTTAAATTGTAATGGTAGACCATGTTAACTCACTTGGTGTAAGTTGCTGCCTGAAGGCATTTTAAGGACACATAGGGGCAAATTTTCAAAACACTCCTCAGGCTCTTAAATATGGTGTTTCCAGAAATACCTAATAAGTGTCATGGTTAGAGGGACCACTTGGTAATGTTGATACCAGGAGTAAACATTATGGAAAGTTTCCTTTGTTACTGACATTTTTTTTGTTGGCCTTAGCTGTGCCTTTGATGTAGAATTACAAACTCTCTTAAACCAAGGGAGGATTTTTTCCTTGGGCTTGGGAGGAAGCCTAATGTAGATTGCAGCAATGTTTTTAATGAACCTGTGAAATCAAGGTCATAGTTCTGCTATCACTTAAAAATACTCCTGTCATAAAGCAGAGCTGTAGTGCCAGATGTGTGGTGTGAATTGTCATGTATCTTAAAAATTTTGCCCCTGCATAATGATATGTTCAGTGCTACAGAGCTCTGCACCATTGAGATTAGAATCTGTCATCTGTGGCTGAAATTCATAACTACACAGTGGCTGTTACACAGGTAATCTCATTCATTTCCTGGTGTGCAAATGGCCAGGTCACAAAAACTTAATGACAATTTTCAGTAATTGGACCTTTGTTAGCAGTCTGCAGAGAGACACTGATTGCTTAATGGACATGGATCCAAATCCAAGAGGTGGTTCTTTCTGAACTGAATACAGCCCTTTAGGTCTATTTTCTGTGGTGTTTTCTAGAGAAATACTTTTTGTGTTTAACATTTAAACCCACCCATGCTAATTAAAAATAAATGATAAAATAATAAAAATAATTCTAAAAGGGAATCTGAAACTACCTTTTCAGTCTGATAATTGTTTAAAAAATTTCTGTATTTGTTTTTATATTTCTTTGCAGATTTTCCTAATAGTATATTGTAAATAATGTTAACTTTACAGTCTCTTAAATTTTAATTACTTTCACTTTAAAAAAATGAGGAATGTGGTTTGAAAAATACAGATCTCATAAAATGGACTGAAGCATAATTTTATTTCTCTTGTAAAATCCAATTAATTGCCCCAACAATTAAAAAGTGGCTCCATGTTACAGTTTTATAATTCTAGAATCATCTTTTTAGTTAATTGAGCTGACAGATTTAGGTATAGAGTGTGTATTTTCCCTCTGGTAGTTATTTTGTAATTAGTATTAATGCAGGATGCTGCTATTTGAATAGGTGGAATATAGTTTTGGTTCATATTTGTACTGTTTCTGTCTTACTGTGATCTGTTACTTCATAATGCATATGATAATTATCAAGTAGAATGATGATCTTTTTAAAAGTGCCATATTTGCTTTGGAAGGAGTCGCAATGGTGTTTTTTTGTCTTGCTGCTGCACTCAAGTGCTGCAGTTCTAATACAGGAGGCTTTTATACCAAAAATTGCATCTATGTTGAAGCAACTTGTTCCTTTTTCCCAGCAGATGTACAAATCTGTAAATTAATTCTTCCTAGGGCTTTTCATAAACTCTCAGAAGAGATGATGAATCATCTGAAGTTCCATACCCTCTCAAGCTTCATGCAGCTTTGTTTTCCTCTTGGCAGATGCATCTCAAAAAGGCAAAACGAACTCGTGTTTAAAGCATTTCGATAAAATGTGCCTCAAAAGGTCAGTTACCTTTTAAAGAATATGATCCTGCACACCTCAGTAAATAGCCTGGTGGTGCTGTGTTGAGTGAGGCTGCAAAGATCAAAAAAAGAACTGCCTTTTTTTTTTGCCAGTTGGATTGAACAGAAGGATAGTACCTGGCCTTTATAAGGACCTTTATTTTCAGTTTCTTTTGTGGGTGTCATATGTATGTGAAGATATTGTGTATCAGTGTCAGTGACCAAAAGGCAAATCAGAAATCCAGCACTTCAGAAACTGAGCTTCCCAAAGTGCACAGAGGTATTATACTGCTTTTGATGCTTTTGGTTAAAATTTTCCAAGCTGGCACAGGAACAGATAGTAGGTTGTTAACTTCTTATTAAAGCAGAATACACTGATAACTTTCCGATGGTCTGAAAGTTGAAATTTATTTTAATAAGAAAACACAACCTACTGTTTATGCCAATCCTTATGCATCACTTTGTGTATTCAACTAAGGTGTGTTTGATTGCCCCAGAAATGTTTTTTGGAAAACTGGGCTAGCAGAATCTGGGGGTTTCAAGTGTGCCTGAAGGAAGCTAATTGTTTAGGTTTGTTTGATAACCTGAAGCTTCATATTTCACAATCTTTTCCAGAACTCCTTCTGCAGATGCTCGGAGTTGCACTTATATGTGTCCTTCAGTCATGTGGGAAAATGGTCTGACTCTGTCTCGTGTCATCTTTTGTGTGTAGAGCTCTGAGGAAGCACTTGAGAAGAACAGAGGGCAAGCAGCTATTTTTACTAATTGTGCTTCATTTATTATCTTCAGAATTAGAGTTTATGTTGAGTGTTGATTTTGTATCATGGGATTTGGGCAGTTGCAGTAGAGACATAATAGGCTGGAATGGGCTAAATAAATGTGACAGATCTTAATACTGTGGTGTTAGGATATCATGAGTATTAGTGAAGGACTGAAAGACATTCCTTGGGCCGTCATTACTTTGTGTGACTTTTCCTAATTCAGTATAATCAGGTCCAGGGATGCCAGATGCAGGCTCCCAAGCCTGAGGTTCTCAGCTCAGGTAGAGCTTGCTGAGGTCTGCTGCGTCAGGCTCTGACTCAAGGACAAGTGCACGTTATCAGTGCCAAGGTTTCCTTAGAGATGATGCAGTCTAGCAAATGCAGATCCATCTGAGGTCTGAGAACCAGAGTCTTTGCTGTGTTTCATAAGGATTTGGAAAAAGACAAGAAAGAACAGAAAGGGCGTTTGTCCTTGATCTTGCTGTGGAGGTTGGGAAGGCTGCAAGAGGTGTAGTATCCTGACATTGCACTGGAGACCTTGAGGAATTTGAAGTTTTCTGGACCTGTTTTTTTGGAATGAGAGGTATGTGACAGCCTAAGTTCTTTTTTTAGCTTAGTTTGGTAGCATCTTATGCTTTCACTTCCAGTTCCTTTATTGTGGCATTTCTGTTTAATCTGGGTTAGCTGAGTTCAATGAGGAAGGATTCTATCTCAAGGTTCTCATATGTATTGTGTGCAGATTTTCCACCAAAGATTACAGTTTCTGGAGGAAGTTTTTGTTTTTCAACTCAATCTTTATCAACTTGCAATTTTTAACAGCATACTTCACAAGCTGCAGAAGTATAAAATGTGTACATGTGTCTTGTTGCATCGCAACTTTATTTCTTAATCACTTGTCCCCTACCGACTGTGCAGATGGCACGAATAGATGTGTACCCCATATAAGAAAGTGATAGGAGTTGCTCCTCCCCTAGGAGAAGTTTCTTTTCTAAATGCTCTAAGAGGAGACAGTTTCCCAATTAGCAATTGGGAGAACAGTGATTGTGCTCTGTGGAATTTTGTCTTTTATTCAGTGGGCCATGAGTGGGACCACTGGAACCTGCCTGAACCAGCTGTGACCAGCACAGGGCAGTTCCTGCCCACAGAAACCAGCCTGCCAAAGCCCTCACACCTGCAGCCAAGGCACACCTGAGCCTCGTTCACTCAAGGATGTAATTGTATGTATTTCACTGAGATTTCCTTTTCCTGTTTTGGTTTATTCAGGCGTCTCCACATGCTGATCTGCAATGCTGCCATGTTTGGTGCTCCCTGGTCCTTGACAGAGGATGGCCTGGAGACCACCTTCCAGGTGAACCATCTGGGACATTTCTATCTTGTCCAGCTTCTGGAAGATGTTTTATGCCGATCATCTCCGGCTAGAGTTGTGGTGGTGTCCTCTGAGTCCCACAGGTTGGTGAATATTACCTTTGATTTCGCTGAAATCTTTAGTCCTTACAGCGTGAAACAGTTATGGCAGAACCACAAAAGTTTCTGAAAATAAAGGGCCTTGCTCTACAGCATTTGCCTTTGAATAACCTTTTCAAAAACAGAAGCATTACTAATGCCTGTGAATGTTTCTGGCTTTGGCTCTGTTGCTGGATAAGGCATGTTCTAGTTTTATAACGGTCTGTAGATATGTTTTTGATCATTCTTTGTGTGAATGCAGATTTTCGCTGCATTTCAGACCACTCATTGATTTTGCGAGGAGCTGGAATAATAATTGATTAAATCTGAATGGCATGACCTATATTGATTTGTCATTCAACAACTTCAACATCTTAGCAAGAAGAACGTGCCGTTATTTTAGCAGGAGAAACAATGCAATTAAAAACTGCTAGATGAAATCCAGTTGTTTTATAATGAGAAATTAGGGAATTCAATGCAGACATTAGCTGTATAATTGTAAAATGGGAAGTAGTGTAGTTAATACTTATTACAAATCTGGCCATGCCTCTTTTGGTGAATTTTTTAATTAAAATGCTAGATGCTCATCTTTTCTACTGCCAGGAGAAGTACAGATGTTGATGAGGTTTGCCTTATATCAAATGTGCTTGTGGTGTTTGTGTTAATAATTGAAAAGATGGATTTGATTTAAATAAAGTTCCTTGTGCAAAATGCATGCCCCAGTTCTGAATTTTACTGGGTGCAAGTCACTTATTACTTTCCCATTTCGTTCAGGGACTGCAAAGATTAGACCTACAATGTCCAGTTTTAAACATTACTGTTGATTTCTATTTCACTTGGTCGTGTGTAATAGCTCTAGCAAACCAAAAGGAAGAATGTGTGAGTGCTTTTTTTTTTTTTCCCTCCTGCCTTCGTATTTCTGAAATGTTTTAGTGACCCAGAATGAAGCTTATTTTTTTAATCATGTTTCCATAAAATGTAACCCCAGGGACCTGGTAGAGAGAGACCAGCCAAGGGTCGGGCTGAAACCTTTATCACTTCCAAACACAGGGGCTTATGGTATAAATGACACACTGCAGATAGATTTACTTTTACCATTTTAAATTTATGATGGCTGAAATGAAAGGAAGCAATAGAAAATGCCAGTAATAATCCTCCCCAGTGTTAAAAGACATGAAATGTCTAGTAATTAGGTGGTAACAAAATCAGGACATCCTTATCTTTGCAAATCACACCAGGTTTGCGAAAGCAAGTAGCAGAGTCCTGTTAGGAGTGAGGGAGGCTACGGAGGGCAGGCAAGATAGCTCTAGAAATAAATCTGCCAACTCCAATCACTTGCCAGATGTGGAGGGCACAATGGGATACGTTTAAATGAGCTGTTATTTAATGTGAGATTATGTTGAATTGTCAGCTGCTTGTTCCTTTTTGTGAGTTTGTATCTCTTATAGTATTTTAAGTGACATCTTTGTTTTTCACTGTATTAAGTGCTGTACGTAACTCCCATCTCTGGACATCTTTGTCTGTGTTTTTTGAAAACATTTTGAAAATGCTCATTGCTAGCTCAGTCAGATCAGCCAAGGATTATAGAAGCCCATCAAAAAATAAGTAGCAGTCTATGTTTGAATAAAATAATAAATGCAACTAGTAAACTTTCCTTTTTCTAAGGGATCCAATTAATATGTTACAGCCTATCTTATCAGTTCAACTGATCATTGTAAATAGCTGTGCTTTCCCCCCTCCCCAATCTGTTTAATGGCACGAAGTTGATGTAAGGAGTGAGTTAGGTGTTATTGGGTAGTCGTACTTTCTGACCTACTTGAGAACTCTGAGCTTTAAACTATGTTGTAAAACAGAAGTGTTGGTATCTAATTACTTCCATAAACCTTGACTGGATCTTTTTGCTGGAGTCAAGACCCCCTGTTAGGGGAAAAATAAAGCCCCACGTTTGCAGAAAATACTATACTACACTGCTCCAAGGCAAAATATTTATTTGCCTCTCTGGTTCTTTGTTCATTTCTAGTTACTTCCCTGGATTCAGCACAAATGAATTCTGTTTAAATTAAGCTTTTGGGTACTTTAAGCACATCATATTAAAATCAGAATAATAAGTAGGTTGACTTTCCTTCTGTCTTTATTTCTGTGTTGTTAATTTGGTTGTACAGCCCTTATCCTCCCAAATTCAATGAGATTGCCGACATAAGTAAGATTGACTCACATAAGCACACTTGCAGGACTGGACTCAAAATATGCCACTGTGTTTCCATTATACAGTACACACAAAGTGTTTTATTTATAGATCGTTTTTGGTGTCACAGATGATTACTTGAGGGATGAATATAGGAAAATCCTCCCAGAATAGTCCTGTTAATTTCAGAAATGTATTTTATCTAACTGGAAATTATGAAAGAGAAATTTTTTTGTTGAAATTGAAAGGCTAATTCTGCAAGACACAGAACATCCTGGATTCCTCTTGAGTTCAAATACTGTATTGCTTTTCTCTGAGCATATTATAATTCTGCTCACAGAATGAATACAGAAATTCCAGCTGATCTCTTCATTTCTGGGCATGAGATGCAAAATTAGTAAAGATATTTTAAAACATTTTTCTAGTGTGTACTATAATTATGTTTATCCCTGTTCTCCCCAGCTGATTCTGGAAATTCTGGGTATTAAAAAGAGCTTGCTAAATCCTTTTTATTTTTAGTAGCTCTTCTGAATGAAACAAAGATCTGTAACTAAATGTGGTATTATTTTTCTAACATTAAGATATACCAGTAAATTGATAAATCAAATTGTAAGAACTGGAGGGAAAATCTTATATGGAAACTTCATTTTCTTCATAAAAAAGTCTTTAAAACATTCACTACTTTGTTATTAAAAAAAAAGGGAAAGAAACAAACAGCTGGTGTTTAATGACTCTGTCAGACCCAATTAAAAAACATCAACTAGTAACTTTGATTTGTGTTCAGCCATGCCATGGGTATACTTAAAAACATTATACTCTGCCAGAACTCATTTTGGCTTTGTTTACATTTATCTTTTAAACATATAAGACTATTGATGGCAAGTTACCAAGGTTATAACCCTTTTATATTCATCAATTTTTAATCTAAAAAAAAGTCTAAGAGGCAGTGAGACTCATCCATAGTTACTTGAACACTTAAATGCAAGTGTGCTGTATGTGAGCACTGGATGAGATGATCAAGGGAGGGGAAGAAGGGGAATGAAAGGATGCTGGGTTTCTCTGCTTCTAATGCAGAGTTATTTTATCCTACATTATTTCCTCCAGGTTGATTGTGCTTTTATGCATCTGTGGGAAAATCTTTTTTTTGGATTTAAAATAAAGTGATTCGTAAGTTACATGCAATGCCTTTACATCATTTAAGTAGTTTTTGACTTTTTATTTATCACTTATTTTTTCTAATTATCCAGTAATTTTGCTGCCATATTATGTGGGACGATTTCTTGGGTCTCAGGCAATTTCCAGTAGACGCTTTCAACTGCTAAATAAGCTGTTGTTTTATGTTGGTTCTGGCCAAGTTCTACTCTGTTGTCTACATTTTATGCTGCTCTTAATGAGAGTGAAATTAACTCTGGGGTGTCTAAGGCATATTTACTGTTTTTTAGATTTACAGAAATTAAAGACTCCTCTGGAAAGCTTGATTTCAGCCTGCTTTCTCCATCTAAGAATGAGTATTGGGCTATGTTGGCCTACAATCGCTCCAAGCTTTGCAATATACTATTCTCCAATGAGCTGAACCGACGCCTTTCTCCCCACGGGGTGACATCTAATTCAGTCCATCCTGGAAATATGATTTACTCCTCCATTCATCGTAACTGGTGGGTGTATACCCTGCTGTATACCTTGGCTCGACCTTTCACCAAATCCATGGTAAGTGAACACTTCTAAGTATTTTACACATCTTCATTTTTTCAAATCAGGGGAGAAAAGTTGTAAAAATCCAGATGTATGTATCTGCTTTGGCCTATTGCCTTTTATAACCATGACTCTGATTTTAAAGCATCGTGCCAAGATAGTGCTCTACAAGTGGATTCTTCAACCATTTTAGATTTATTTCGTCAATCTTCAGTTGAGAAACCTTCTGAGATGGAGTGTATGACTTCCTTGTTTGAATATATGATTTTCACTGTGATTAAGGATGTTGTATGTCTTCATTGTGGGATAGAATCGAGTAATTTCTCTGCTCAGTATACGTAAAACATCAAAAAAATTGCTTTGGCTTTTAAGTGGAATATGTTGACTGCATTTTTTATGTAAACAGATGCCCTAGTTAGAAAAGATACTACAGACATTATTAATGGCTGAGGGAAAGTGCTTTCAGTGGTAAAAGCACCTTCATTCATATTTTAAAAAAGGCAACAACCCAAGAATTTTCTTGATTCTTACAAAGTGCTGAAGACAATGAGTGTTTTAGCTTTGTCTCCATTGGGTTTTGGACTGGGACCATGACATAATGAAAGGCTATGCAAATCTTTCATAGCCAATGTTATGAGTCTTCATTATATAAGAATTTGCAGCATCTCCAGTGTTTGAAGGGGTTACTCTTATCCCCTGAACCTCTAAGCCTGGTTATTTATAAGGAGTCTAAAGTATTTTTTAGCATTTTTAACCTTATAGACTGTTTCTCATTCTTTTTTCACTGACAAAGAATGGTATTCCCAAAAGAGGAGCAGGGAGAAGGAGTCTCCTTTGAATGTTTGCAGCTATGAATCAGGGAATCTCATCTAGCCTTGGCAATTTGTTCAAGCCCAAACCAGAGCCCTTTCACAGAAGACTTCACTGCTAACAAGAGTGATTGTGGTGTAGCATAACTGTCTCCCTTAGCTGGTGATACAGACCAAATTAATTGGTTTTATTTGAAAATGATCAAAGAGGAATTGAGGCAGAGGGATCCCTCCTTAAGCAGCTTAATCTACTGCATAGCCTATAGTAGCTGAGCAAAGTAGTAGTGGAACCTGTATGTATAGTGGCACAAAAGAATTTCTGTGTACATTTCATTATCACTGAGATAATGAAATTCATCTTAATTTATACTGGGATAATGTATGTGGAAAACACATAGTGTTTAACACTCTGATTACATGTCCCTAAAAGAGCAATATTGGATTTTCAGTAAGACCTGTGGAGCAAAATTACAAACACTCCAGTGAGTTGCACTGCCCATGTGTCACTCAGGAGACTCGTCACACCTTTAACCTCTGCCTGTAGTTTGCAGCCTGTACATATGCAAAACCTATTTATGTCCATGATATTTGTAAGTGAGCATTCTGGCACCCTGGGATAAGTAATAATATCTTTCAGCAGCATGTTGTTTTGACCAAGACCTATAAAACCATGTCTCTGCTGTGTTAGGGATAGTTTGTAAAACAAATTCTTGAAGTTCTCCTGAGAATGCATAAGTGAATGTTATCAACATCCCGTGAAAAGGATCTGGTCTGAGGACATTTATGAATTGTTAGTTTTATTTGCTCTGACATATTTTCACAAAAGGAACCTTCTGTGTTTATTGCTCAGAGAGTCTCATCCTCTAAGGAACGAAACCCACCGATGTGAATTTTGAATTCTTTAAAACAATTGCTAATTTAAAAAAAAAATTGTAAAAATTTTAAAAAAATATGTTAATGGGTAGTACATAGAAGACAATACAATGTGCAATGCAAAAAATATCAGCACTGAATAACAGTGCACTCTGGTTCAAGACCAATCACTTCTGTTAAGTCCTTTGTGTTTGTATTTCACTGAGGTTATTTGAATGTCATAATGGAGGGTATGGGCTGAGGTTAGGCATCAGTCTTATACCTCATATTCTGATATGAATTGTTATGCTCCCCTGAACTTTACCAACGTTTCAATTGCCAGTAAAACGAGAGAAGTGCCCCTTTCTGAGTATGCAAACAAGCTGAGCTGAAACTCTCAACATCATCAGTGAAAGAGTTTCTATTTTAAGGTTTGTAGGGAGCAAATGATTTGCTGCTGCTGCTTTTTTGGGAATTGTGCTGTCACCAACCTGGAATAGACTTTGAGGATCTTTTTGTGGGCTTCCTTTTGGTGTTTCTGTGGCAGTTCACCCTGGAGTTTGGAGAAGTGTTTTGGTCAGAATAGTGGGAGTGATCTCAAAGCTTACAGCTGCAGTCCCAAGGTGGTGAACTGTACGATCCTGTGTTTTCCAAGGATGTCTGCATTGCACAATGCAGCATGATGCAGCAGCATTTAAAGTAGTTTCAACTGAGCTGGGCCCATAACTGGAATTGAGAGATCCTTGACAAGGTTGTGTGGAGAGAGGTAAGACTTGTCAGCTCAGGCAAGGTGCCACACGGCTCTGCCTGTACCTGTTTTGGTCTCTGAGGTAGTAGCTCTAGCTGCTGCAGCATTCTGGTACATGGAAAGGCTAATCCTTTCTGGAGCCACTTTGAAACTGTTTGTTATGTCTTGGGCTATCAGGCTCCTGGAGTCTGTATAGATGGATGCACATATATGCATCACAGAGACTGCGGCGTCACGTATGTGATTCTGACTGGGGCCTTTTCATATTATTGTGGTAAAAGCTTTTACTAAAAAATATTTGCATCTTCAATTTGCATTGAAGAAATCACTTGTTGACTAACAGACATTCTGAGTGTGCTGGATAGCTCAGAATAACACTCAGAGTTTCACCTCTTTTGGAAATGTTGAAGCTAGATGCAGAACAAGGTCAGAACATGCATTTGATTCCCTATTAGCTTTTTTTCCCAGAACAATATAATTCTTGCATTCTGTCCTGGTTGCAAGTTGCTACTGAGAAATTAGTCTTCAAGCCTTTGATTTAGTTGTCATCATTTTCTGTGGTACTTATTAGATAACCCATTTAAAGTTGACTTGCTAAAAATCATAACAATTTCAGAATTATTTTGTTTTGTTTCCAACAATGAAGAAATATACATTGTGGATCTGAAAAATATTTTTTTTTATTGCTCAGTTCTTGAATGTTGAACAGCTGCGCTCTGGTTGATGAGGATGTAGCATTTTCTGTAGAAAATGTTGCATACCACCAGTCACTATTTTGGGGAGAGTGTGTGTGACACTTGGGGTATTCAGCATGACAGAATTTAGCTTAGGAAACACTGCTGGTAGCTGTTCTGTTTTAGCTGATTCCCTGAAGCACTGAGAATTAGTAATTTAATAGTGATTATAGCACTCTTATTTACCTGTTTGCTATTATTTGCTGCCACCATGGTGACTTAGTTTCCATAATTAGAACATTTTAAGCAGAAACTTTAAATAGCCTGACTTCATAAAGAAAAGATTTTTTTTCTAAAAGGACAAACTTACTTAGGTAGGTTTTACCTGCCTCTAAAATGTGAGGCTTTTAGAGGCATAATTTTAGTTGCTTCTGTAAATGGTTATACATTACTGCAAGAAGAAAAGCAACATCACATTTTTCAAACCTGTTTTGTGAATGACTACAGCATAAAAGTTTTGGGATGTTTGTGCTACTTATAGTGAACTCTTCTGTTGAATCAGAAAGCTGTCTGGTCAGCTTTTGAAACACAACACAATATTTAAATCACTGATAGTTGTAAGTATCTGGGAAGCAGTCTTGTTAATTGGAACTCTGGAGAGACTGTTCCTTTTTCTCCATCCCACCTCTTTTCAAGATCTAAAATCCATTGGGATTTCTATCCAGAAATGGAGAACAAGTAGAAAGACATAGTTGCAAATAAATTACTATTTTATTATTGTAGTAACTGTAGCTCTACTAATGTTCAAAAGGTCTCTCTTGCTTACCACTATATCGTTACTCACTAAATCAGGGGCTGCTTATAGTATAATTAAATGTCAGTTGAAACCAGTGGCCACTGTAAATAACAAATTGGAGGAGAAACTCTGAAAGTAACTGTGTAGGCCATGCATATGCCTACTGGTTTGATTTAAGACTTTAGAGTTTGGGGTTTTTTCTTTCTTCCTCTCTTTCATGTTCTTTCACTCTCTTCTTTCTCACTTTCTTTCCCTCTGTCTTGAAAATTGGCTCAAGAACTGTTTTACTAAGTTGTTTCTTTTGTTTTAAATTAATGCTGGTTATTCAGAACCCAGATGATTTGTCACTGTTTATATACAAGATCAAAATTAAATACATTTATTGTAAGTTTTGAGCTTACACTGAGTATGCTATCTAGTGTCACCCCCAGGTGATTTTGTGAATGTACAATGGCATATGGAATTAGAAGCAGAGTGCCATTATCACACACTTGTGATAGTCTTACATACACCCAAATATTTTTGTTGGCAGGTAACAGAGCAGAAAGAATATCATGTGTTAGAGTAGCAAGAGCTTAACAGATGTTTCAGGGAACTGAATTTTCAAATCCTTTTACATTAAGAAATGGCTGGGGTTTGGGGAAGTTCTGAGACTATTGGGTTACATTTCCTGTTGCTGTGCAAAGCCAACCATTGTGCTGGAGTTTTAGCAGATGTGTTACCCTCTTTTAGTGGCTGGGAGTAAAACATTGGTTCTGTTGCTGAGATAAAAATTGCAACTAGAAGATCTCAACTTGCCACCTTTAAAAACCATTTAGTTGTAGTAAGACCATTCTGCCCTTAATTTTCTTGCTGTACAAGAGAGTGATGCTTGAACTGCCTTTTGATTTCTTCCTCTTCCCCCAAAGATATTGGCTTTTCAGAACTGGATTTTCTATTTAAAGTATTGCTGTTGAGAATTATAAGGGCTCCAAAGTCTTCTGCACATCTAGATTTTATACAAAACCCTGAGTTCCTGTCACCAGGAGTGTTTAAGGCAGTTGGCCTGTATTGCAGTGCACATACAGGCAGGAGGAAACCCCAGTGCCTACAACAGCTTCACTTTTGCCATAAGTAAGAAGTGTCTAAATTTAAAT